CAAACCCCCCATACCCTAAACCCTAAAGGCCCGAGACATGGCAGATGACGAGATGACCTCCGCCTTCTCCTACGACCTCGAGAAGCTCCAGGTGATGAAAGCGAAAACCATGTACCTGGGTTCTGACATGTTCAGGAACTTTGGGTTTAGGGTTTAGGGTTTATAAGGTTTAGGGTTAAGGGTTTAGGGTTTAGGGTTTAGGGGTCTAGGGTTTAGGGTTTAGGGTTTAGTTTAAGTTTCTTTACCGGGGACCTATAATAGATATGGTCTCCTTACTTATTATTGTAACTTCAACCCTAGGCCCTAAACCCTAAACCCAAAACCGTCAATCCCTCAATAAGAGCCCAGGTATGAGATGGTGGAGGACATCGATGCGGGCTGCGGCCCGGTAAAGCTGCTCTTCCTCACAAACGCCCAGGCGGATTCGTTTGGGGTTTAGGGTCCCTAAACCCTAAACCCTAAACCCTAAACCCTAATTCCAAACCCTAAACCCCAAACCCCAAACCCCAAACCCTAAACCCCAAACCCCAAACCCTAAACCCTAAACGCGCAGGCGGATTCCATCAAGAGCAGCTCCAAGACCTTGCGGAAGCTGCTCGAAGCCTTTGAGATTCCTCAGCCGAAGCTGGTCATCAACTTGCTTACCTCCTCGGGCCTCCGGAATTTCTTGAATTTGTTTCCGGCAGATTGCGCCGCCTTTGGGAATGAGACATCCCCGGAGCTCATCAATGATGCGCCACCTTTTCTCAGTGCAGATGACGAACATCACGTGCTGACACAGCTGGACACCTTCATGTCAGATGTGCTTCTACCACTGGCAGCGTCCACGCATGCACTCATCTTGACTTGCGCGGTGTCCGGGGAGTGTGCACTGGCCGGCGCACTGTCGCGTGCTTTCAGACAGCAGCAGGCAAGGTGGGGGCCAACCCCCCCTTTCACAATCCTTTACACCACGGTGATGACCCCATTGCTGTATTTGAACTCAGATTTAGATGCTTACTGGCGAGCTCTGCGCCGCAAGTCCAAATCATGGAGCAGCCGCGATCGGACGCTCCTTGACATGGTTACTACGGAAGGATTCAATGGATTCTACCCGCAGAGCGTGCATCTGAATCACGACTTGGATAGAGATGGCTGTTGCTTTCTGATCGTTGACCAGGTGAAGCAGGTGGGGAGCACTCGCAAGGAGTTTGACGCCAAGCCGGGGAATGATCTCAGAAACGAGCTTGTGCGCTTCCTCAGCAGCACCTTACCATCCATTGCGTTGAGAACTGGGTACGTGGACAAGTTCAGCACGACGTCAGACAAGACATGGCAGGTATGCTTGAACCAGGCAGGGTGTCACAAGTCGTTGGTGCAAAGGGTCTTGTTGAAATCTGATGGGAGAGTGCAAAGGGAGTCGAACAGGTGCGGTTGAACTTGTTTGTAAGTTGCAGGTAGGAGGAGGGCCGGTTTCAGAAATAAGCTGGTTACAGAGGAATGAATCAAATTCTAACGATAAGTAAAATGCTGAAAACTCTCGTTGCCAAATGCAGCAGTATGGTACGGATGCAGCACAGAACATGGGGTATAGGGGTATAAGCGCAGCCGTCCGCGATGCCCCATGACGGGGACAGTTTGGCAGTTGGCGGACGTTTGCTATCTTTTTGCCCCGTGCGTATGCGCATATTTTGTATAAACTTAGCCCGGGACTTGTCATAGTGTAAGATAGCAATCCGGGAATGGTTTTTCTGCAGCTCATGTGGGTGTACCCCCCCAAACCCTATACCCTATACAGCCTTTACCCCAAACCCTAAAGCCTAAACCCCAAACCCTAAAGCCTAAACCCCAAACCTTAAAGCCTAAACCCCGAACCCTAAAGAGCCTAAACCCTGAACATTGCATGGCACCTGGCCCGTGTCCACACACACCCTTGGAATAAGCCTCAGCAGGGTTCCATTTTGCGTAAAGGGTGTAAGGTTTAGGGTTTAGGGTTTGAGTCAAGGGTTCCGGGTTTAGGGCCCTAAACAGGAAATCCATGGGCCTTCAGCCCGACGTTCCAAAACTCATCTGGTAGATGGAGCCTTAAAGGAGCCCTTACCCCATATCCCTAAAACGGAAAACCCTACACCCCTAAGCCCCAGCCGACTTGGAAGATCATAGGACTTAGTAAATAAGGTTATAAGTACCTTAGTTGGGTTATTGTTATTTATTATAATTAGGTATAGTTACCTTATTTGCCACCCTATAGTTACTAAGTCCCATGATCCTTCAAGTATCCCTGACAGACAAACCTCAGGTCCATTCTGGCACCGAGCTGCTGTTGCTTGATTTGCGCCCCCGCCCAATGGAGGTTCATGGGACATAGTAAGTCAGATTTCAAGTACCTTTGTTGGGGCTATAAGTGACTATAAGTATAGTTCTCCTAATAATAACCCTGTTTAGTAAGTCCCATGATCCCTTAACACTGGAGGCTCCAGTATAGTTCTCCTAATAATAACCCTGTTTAGTAAGTCCCATGATCCCTTAACACTGGAGGCTCCAGATGGTGGCCAATGGGTGTCGCGCACGCAGTTCATAGAAGCTGCGTGGGATAAGCTCGTGAAGGGCTGCGAAGCCTTGCTTGCTGACGGAAAATGCGATTCGCTCGACGTTTGCAACGTTGCTTATGCTCACCATGCTTTATATCATTTCCCAGAGAAGGATGAGGCCGGCGCACCCCCGCAGCAGAGAAGCGTCATTCCTCTGCACGAGGCGATTCGGGAAGCGCGCGCAGAACGCCAGCATCAAGTCAGTTCGGTCGACCTGGATGAGGACCGGTGGGAGGCAACAGATGCGCAGGTCATGGACGTTGCACGGCGTCTGGCTGGCCGCATGCTGCAGGACTGCAGGAAAGCCCTAGGAAGGCCCTTATCAGACGAGTTCAACAAGTTATATGACAAAAAGACCGTCGAACTTGCTTCCCAGCTACGGAGCGTGCTGGTGAGCCCGCAGGCACACCAAGTCAACATACATGACATGGCCGATGCCAAGCGGATCGTGAATAGTTTAATTCAGTCCGATCGACTTCCCAGGACGAATTCATTGGAAGGTTTACTGTTGATGCAGCAAGCGTGGTGCGAGTGCGATGTAGCACATCACTTGGCGAACAGGTACAAGATACAAACGAAAGTGTTGTATGTGTGTCAGCTGCTGCTGGCATGGCTCGTGATCTTGTTTTCGCAAGTTCAGCTGGGAGCCACTGCGTCATCGTTTGCTTCTTCAGACATCGTCTTTGTACTGGCAGTTCTGCACGGGGCCGTCGTGTCGGTCGAGGGATATCTCAGGCCCAAGCCGAAATGGCAAGCACTAAGGGGGGGAGCCACCGCACTGGAATCGATGATGTGGCTGTATCGCACTCGTGTTGGGCAATTCCGCATGGGTGCGGCACAAGATCCCCGAAATCCTGAGATCATCTTTTGCAGGCAGCTAAATGAGTGGACGGAGGATCTCTTTGCAGCTGGTGATCTGCAGCGCAGTGCATGGAGTAAGTCGTTCTCGTCATCCATCCATAGGCACCAACAGTGTGAAGGCGACCCGGAGAGAAAGGAAGCTGCGACTGAAGATGCAGCGATGGATGATCATTATTCACCTGTGCAACCAGATTTGTACATTCACTTCCGGCTGATGCGCAGGATGGAATGGTATCAGAAGAGGCTTCCCACCTACATTTTTCATGCCTGGGTGTTTAAGCTCTTGGTTCTATCCTGCACAGTTGCATGCGCCGTCCTCGCTCGATTTGGTCAGCCGACGGCTGTTGTGATCATCACCGCCTTCTCATCCAGCAGCACGACATGGTCCGAGTTCGTTGACGCTGGAAGCAAGGTGGAGCGTTATTCACGCGCGGTCCGCACCATGTCCCGGCTGCTGAACTGGTGGAAGCACTTGACCGAAGTGGAGAGGGCTTCCATGGAGAACATCGCCGGCCTGATAATCGAGACGGAGCAGGCGATCGCAAAGGAGCAGGCGAACTGGATGCCCAGCCATTCTGCAGGGACTGTTGAGACCGGGGCGAAGCCTCCTCCAGAAGCCCCTGCCCCTCGCGAGGTGCCTGAAGCCAGGCCACGAGTTTGAGGCTGTGAAAAAGCAACCAGTTTGGGGTTTAGGGTTTAGGGTTTAGGGTTTAGGGTTTAGGGTTTAGGGTCTTGGGTTTAGGGTTTAGGGTTTAGGGTTTAGGGTTTAGGGTGTAGCAGCGGGAATGGGGGGGTGTCTGCTTTTAGACTAGGTGGGTGAACAACTGGCATTGTATTTACTCCACATTCCATGTAATGCTCATTTTCTAACTCCTTCCGCGTCCGCACCACCTCACCAGAACAAGAAGTGTTCTGGTCTCTGCGGTCACTGACATTCATTGATTCATTGTGTGCAGATAAAGATGGTTAACTACCGCGATTGTTCCCGCTCCCGCTCCCGCTCCCGCTCCCTCTC